ACCATGCCACAGAGTAGCGTTATGAAATTAAGTTTCACAGTACGGAATTCTGCGCTTATAGCCGGTAGCTTTTAGCCACAGTGTAGTGATGGATAGCAGTATGCATTCCGCACTGATCGACCAGAGTAATTATGTTAATGAAATAACGCAGCGCCATCTTTGGTATGCTTTTGGTTAGGGTCGACGTTGCAAGGAATTTGTAATCGTTTGATGATAGCCTGTCTTTGAACATAGATGCCAATATGTTCTATTAAATGTAATAATTGACTTTGAGAATAATTATTTGGAACATGGGTATTTCAGAAATCTTTTCGGGATTGTCATATTCTTTAGGGATCTGTTTTGTATGACTTTTAATTAACTAAATGTTAATAAAGTAACATTACCATACATTCTAACGTTAAATGAAACCCCGGAAGCGTTTTTCACACGAGTAATCAAATGAAACAAAATCATTGGGCCTCCGCCGCATCCTAAAATTGAATTACCCCATTGAATGCCCGCATTCGGTCGTACCCAGGTTCCCATAGACCCCTCGAGTGGTCCCGAAAACGGGCCCCACGTGCGGGGCAGATGGCCGAGTTTATTTTTGCTGCTACTTTGCTACGGTGACCATGTTTTTTTTTCTATTTTTGTCATGAACAAGAAATATGACGAATTCGTTTGATGTCTACAATTCTCAGATCTTTTGCTGTGCGATATTTTGCACTTTTTGAATATGTGTATAATTGAAGTCAAAAGAAATTTCATAAATAATAATGGTTACGTACCAATATTTTTTTTTATTATTCTACTATTCCAAGACGAAGACTTCTTGATTTACGAATACAATTGTAATATCGTAAGAAAAGGGATAATAGTGTGTATTTTCAATAAAAATGGAATATGCATTGCCTAAGGAATAGCGACAACAGTCCTATCACTATACAGTGAACGTCCTTAACTTTCGATTCGATGTATTACTGTGTACATTTTTTGGGACTGTCCGTCATATTAGCGTAGTATTGTGACCTTGGCGGGCATGTTCGGGGCCGTCTCGTTGGGATCGGGGGCTGGCAGATGTGAGACTCCGCATCCGGATTTATTGTGACGAAGTGGCTTGTGTGCGTAACTGTACACGTCTTTGTACGTACTTCTAATACTATGCATTGTTTGTAAGTGTACATGTGTTAATAGCTTATAGTTGCTTGTGTAAAGCAGTTCTCAATTCTTGAAAATTATTCAGTACTATTATTACCGAAAAGCTTTTGCCCGCGACTTCGTCAGACTATCCTCGACATCTATACTAAATTCCATCGAAATCGTTAACTCGTTTAAGCTGCACACTCTAATAAACATCCTTCCATCAAAATTTTTGCATTTATAATATTTAGTTTGATAATTATTTAATAGATTACGGGAATGTTCTCTAAATCAAACATTTATTAAACGGCTGTACCAAAAATGTTAGTTTGCAAATTTTATAATCCATTGTTTAATAGTTTGGTATAATAGAAATGAAAAGATTTAACATTTTCGTGTCGCATCAATTATTTCGTATAGCTGTTGCTTGTAACATTGTCTGCGCAGATATTTATCATAAGGACGTAGGTTTTGTAGAATAAAAGCCAATTAAAATCAGTAGCTGTTTCGTATATATCGTATATTAATTCGGACATATCGTATATTCGTTCGTTTACAATGTTCGTACATATCGAGATGTCATATTTTATCTTCGTTGTAATAGATCTTAATTTCTTATCACGTTTCCCTAACTCAGTGGCGCCATCACACTATTCATAAAATAGGTACAAGAGTTTTGTTTTTAAGTACCTCCGCGATTTACGAGGCTACGTTACTGTGGTTTCTTTTGTCAGACCGATTTAGACTCGGTTTCCGGACGTTATTTAAATTTTCTTGCGAATGTCAGTCCATTAGAGTCTGATATCTTAGTAATATTAAATGCGGGAACTTAGATGGATGGATGGATCTTAGAGTTTGTAATCTAAACTGCTGAATGGATGTCGATGAAATTCGGCATCGATGTAGTTTTGTATTTTTGTTAATTCCACGCGGAAGGAGTCCCGAGCGAAAGCGTGTTACCTATAAAGCTTATTCCCAGCTCTTTAGTAGGTTCATATTTGTCTCGTGGTGCTTAAATCTGAATTCATTGCCTTTATTCCACTGGGTTAAATCAGAATTATTGTATACAGTATTACGTTATAATGTCTATTGTGAATACAGAGGAACGCATCGTATCGTCACGTATGGACGGGCGAAGGCCGGCCCTTATCTCGTTCGTCTGTATCGGCCCTAATCAGCTGTGTAAACTGTGCAGCTGGCCACAGAGCAGCGATAAAGACCATTGCATGTGGTCATTTAGCACAGTTTTATTGCTCTGTGGTAGTGTTAAGTATATGGTCTTGCGATTTTGGAGGAGACTATGGAATGCCTTGATTTTTTGATTTGGAGCCTGTCCCACCACTGGATAGAGGTTCAGATAGCTTAAAAATGACGATACTGTCAGATAAGGAAACAAAATCCGATATTTCCATTACATATTTTACACAGATTGTTATCAATTTACAATTTGGTGGGACAAGCTCTTAATATTCTTAATATCGCTAGCTACAGTCTTCTTTTGAAATCACCGTAAAATAACGAAGAAATTAGTTCAGTTCCGTGTTTATTATTAAACTTGAAAACCAATTAAGATTTAATTATAATGAAAATGTTAACTACCCTTGTAAGTTATGTAATTTCTTAACGTCCAACTTTCCGCGAAAACTTGAAGCATATCGAGTTTCAAATTGCCTCGAATCGTTTGATAAACTTAGCTTCTATAAATTGTAACAGTTATTGTTTGACCGGTCCCAACTGTTTAATTAGACCCGGCTAATTGTAGCCGAGGCGGCTATACGCCCCGAACACAGGGACGTATTCTAAAAACTGATTTTTTACTTGACTCATTGCGAAAATATGCTGTAATATAAAAAAATAGCTGTTCCCGTGCGGGGCTCCGCATGAAATTATATTATTAAATTATCAATTGCTAATGTCAAAATGATATGACATGACAAACCTTAGTAATCTTGCTTTCTTGATGTTGGCAGCAACTTATGGTCTCTTTCCCACATTAGAGTTTTTATCCAAAATATTTACCCCCTTAAGTTTAATGGCGTGAAAACATATAGCCTGACGCGTGACGTAAGTGTAGGGATTTTTATTAAAAAAAGAATCATTCAAAAATATGCTG